CAGACTGAAACTCTATATCCATCAAACAATAACACCCCATTGCCACCTACTCCCAGGTCCTGGCAACCTCGATTCTTCTTTTTTTTTTCTTTAAGATGGGGTTTCACCATGATGGCCAGGCTGGTCTTGAACTCCTGACCTCAGGTGATCCACCCACCCTGGCCTCCCAAAGTGCTAGGGTTATAGGCGTGAGCCACCGTGCCCGGCCTCTTCTTCTTGTTTCTACAAATTTCACTATACTAAATACTTCACATAAATAGGATCATACAATGTTGTTTGTGTCCAGCTTATTTCATTTAGCATAATGTCTCCAAGGTTTATCCATGCTGGAGCATGTGTCAAAATTTCCCTCCCTTTTAAGGCTGAGTAACAACCCAGTGTGCGTATTTAACACATTTCATTTATCCACATATCCATCGATGGACATAACATTTAAGATGTATAACCAGGGGAGTAATGTGTTCATGTAACTGCTTTAGAAAGGCAACCCTAGAAGGAGATTCAAGGATACCGCCTGTGAACCAAAAGAGGAACCTGTTTCCAGAAAGTGAAAATGACCAAACAGGTGGAAGAAGTCTAGTAAAAGGTGGTCAGAAATTTCTTTAGGTTTGGGAAAAGCAGTTGTAGAATAGCAGTGGATAGGAAACACTGAAGACTAGTTAACCTAGTTAGCAAGCTCAGAAACACCTATCTGTACGGGAAAACCCTTCCCATAGTACAATAAATTTTGAACATTTGGCACCTATGTTTAAGACAAAGAGGGTGAAGACAGCAAATTAACAAATTATGTTAGCTTCTTCATAAATACAAAATATACTGAGAGATGGTAAAAACAGTTTTCTTGAAAATGAGACATCTCAGCTGGGCGCGGTGGCTCAAGCCTGTAGTCACAGCACTTTGGGAGCCCGAGGTGGGTGGATCACAAGGTCGAAAGATCGAGACCATCCTGGTCAACATGGTGAAACCCCGTCTCTACTAAAAATACAAAAAAATTAGCTGGGCATGGTGGTGAGTGCCTGTAATCCCAGCTACTCAGGAGGCTGAGGCAGGAGAATTGCCTGAACCCGGGAGGCGGAGGTTGCGGTGAGCCGAGATCGCGCCATTGCACTCCAGCCTGGGTAAAAAGAGCGAAACTTCCGTCTCAAAAAAAAAAAAAAAAGAAAAAGAAAAAAAGAAAATGAGACATCTTAGGCAAGGTACGGTGGCTCATGCCGGTAATTCTAGCACTTAGGAAGGCGGAGATGAGCAGGTCACTTGAGGCCAGGAGTTTGAAACCAGCTGGGGCAACATGGGACCTTGAGGACCTTGTCTCTACAAAAATATAAAAATTAGTTGGGCTTGGTCATGCCTCTAGTCTCAGCGACCAGGAGGCTGAGATGAGAAGATCACTCAAGCCTGGGAGGCAGAGGCTACACTGAGCCAATATGGTACCATTGTACTCCAACCTGGGTGACAGAGCAAGATTCTGTCTCAAAAAAAAAGGAAGGAAGGAAGGAAGGGAGGGAGGAGGGAGGGAGAGAGGGAGGGAGGAGGAGGAAGGAGGAAGGGAGGAAGGAGGGAGGGAGGGAGGGAGGGACAAAGGAAGGAAAAGAAAGAAAAGAGAGAGAGGGAGGGAAAGAAAGAAGAGAGAAAGAGAAATAGAGAAAGAAGAGAGAGAGAAAGGAAGGCATTTTAAGGGGTTAGAAAAACTTTCAAAGGTAACTTTGTCATATTGATTACAAGACAGTACAGCTGCACATCATATGCTTCACCTTACCGATGAAAACAGAAGGTGCAAAGGTATGCTGACATAACCACAATCCTAGAATAACAGAACTGTGATCCTGGGAAGGGACAGCTCATACCTCCCCACCATCACATGAAAAAACACCCTATCAACTGGAATGCTTAAAACGTATGGGTGTTATGGGTGGTGATGCTGAAGTTAATTTTTCCTCCATGCTTATCACTCTGATACTTAACACATAGAATGGCCCCAACTTCGAAAATTCATTTTTAGGCCCAAATCATCCTCTTATTCAAGCTACTTTACTTAAATTAAATAGATGCTTACTACAATCCTTTGCTTTTTTTTTTTTTTTGAGACAGAGTCTCACTCTATGGCCCAGGCTGGAGTGCAGTGGGGATCTGGGCTCACTGCAACCTTCACCTCCCAAGTTCAAGCAATTCTCCTCCCTCAGCTGGGATTACAGACACCCTGCCATCACGCCTGGCTAATTTTTGTATTTTTAGTAGAGATGGGGTTTCACCACGCTGGCCAGGCTGGTCTCAAACTCCTGAACTCAGATGATCCACCTGTCTTGGTCTCCCGAAGTGCTGGGATTATAGGCATGAGGCACGGTGCCCAGCCTCCTTTGCTTTTTTGAACTTAAGGAAAAGAATGACCAGCAAGTTGGCAGGCAGTATAATTCTACATTATTTAGAAAGAAAAATAACTAAAATGTGAACACTATTATCTTTATCTACTGTGTCGTTTCTTTAAGAAGCTTGACTTTAAAATGTAAATACCTACTGTTAAAAGACTGCAAAATGATGCAACATCAGATGCTATTCTGACCCAGCCATTTTTGTTGGTTAATACAAATAAATGAGAAAATATTTTCTCATGATTGAATTCACATCAATAGTGTCTAAAAGTACAGATTTTTAAAGACAAACAGAAAAATAACCTATACTATTCGGGTAATGGGTGCACTAAAAGGTCAGACTTTGACACTATATAATATATCCACATAAAAAAACTGCACTTGTACCCTCTAAATCTAGAGGAACAATTAGAAAACAAACAGAAAAATAACCTACCAATTATCCCAGGCCTACTAAAGCAAAGCTCCTTCATTGGGGTATTATATTACCAGAATATTAAACTGACATGATTTTATGATTTTGATTATTACATTTATTATTGTCGCTGTTATGAAGATGCCACAAAAAAGTATACATTTTACAATGATTTGATATCACAAATCAGAACAATCTTTGGACATGTCAAACTAAATCTATTTTTAGTACCAAGTTATTTTTAAGGTATGAAAAATATTTCATGAAAAAGAAAACATCTAAAAAAGAACAACTTTTATTGAAGCGTTATTATTAAAACATGCCAGTGAGCAAAGATCTCTTCAACATATTATTGTATTTAATTTCGTTAAGTAGATCCCATTATTATCTCTGTTTTACCAGTGAGGAAACTGAGGCTTAAAGGCTTTAAAGAATTTGCCAAATGTGATGCAGCCACGAAGTGGCCGAGCCACGCCCAACCCACACCCTCTCAGCGGTCGGTAGCACTCTGCTCTAGAAACAGGCATGCCTGGCTCTACATACAGCAGGTCCTCAATAACAGTTTCATTCACCGTTGGTGACAAAAAAATTCCTGGCCAGGGCCACTGTCTATATGGAGTCTGCTCATTCTCCCCACGTCTGCGTGGGTTTTCTCTGGGCTTCAGTTTCCTCCACATCCCAAAGCTGTGCATATGTCTACACGGTCCCCGTCTGAGTGAGTGGGTGTGTCTGTGAAAGCGCACGCTGTGATGGGTTGGCTTCCTGGACAGGGGACAGGGTGGGATTTCCACCCTGAGCTGCCCAGAGAGACTCTGGCTACCCATGACCTAAAACTGTAATAATTGGGTAAATAATTACCTTGCTTTTATTAATCCTTCTTAACTGTATGTATAGCTCCATTTATTTCTATGTTTAATATTAGAAGTGTTTTGGTCTTTACTTAGAAGTTTGGTGATTTTTTTGTGATCAGAAATATGCTGTAGGAACTTAGCTCCTGTTTATATCAATTAGCCTATGGTAAAACTGGTTGTGTTTAAAGGTTCACAGTTCCCAAGAACCTATCAACAACGTTAAGTGAGGACTTAACTATATTTATTTAAAGAGAATGCTTCCTATCTGTTGGCTAGGGGGGAAAATTTAACAGTAAATGTATTATATTAATACATTACCAAAGCTCTCTTTTGACTATTTTTAATTCATAAAGATTTTGGCTGAATTATTTTCATTATTCTGGAACAAAAATTAAGTCCTTGCCTTGGTATTTTACATTACCTGTAGTTCTAAAGAGTCCTTATGTAGTATGCTTACATTTCCCTTTTTCAAATTACAGAGTAATTCAGCTTTCTCTGTGACTCCTATGTCTATAGCTGAATTGGTATCTCCAGTTTTCTTCATATGAATTAAAAATAATATTTTTAAAAGCACAAAATAAAAGTTTACATTTGGCATAACTTTAGTAGTCTCCATGATTGTGGTCTTCTTATAATAAACAAATTGAAGCATTTGGAAAGTGAGCATGTATTTCAGGAACAAAGAAATGAATACTAACATTTACTTCCAAAATTATTGTGTGTAGGCGGGCCATTGTCTACAATTTATTTTTTCTGTTATTATCAAAAACATCCTTCAACTTTTCCATTCAAGCTGTGGAAAAAATACTAACATTTAACCCACAAACAAAAACGTTTCAGATGAACAAATCGGCAATAAAAGTGTATATGAGTATGTACATTGTATTTTTCCTCCTTGTATATTATTAAGATAAATGACCTTAAGATGAAAACTCTCAAAATTTCAGGTTTATCCTCCTGATTAATTTGTGACATTCCTTGGAGGGAATTCAAAGGGAAGAAGAAAAAGGTTTTAAGCTTCAGGTTATGGTCAGGAACAGAGACAAAATGCATTTAGCAAATAACAGGAAAGATCACATAAATAGTTCTGAACGAAGTTTAAAGAAAACGACTCTTCAGCTCTAAAAAAAATTCGACTCATGAGGTTGGGAAAAGACACTCAAATTTCCCCGACCCCACCCTACTAGTAAACAATCCGTGCAGCAATCAAAAAATGCCCTTTCCTGAATGAATGCCCAGAAGAATCTTAAGAAGCTCACCTTCTGAAGTCAGGGTGTCTCGATTCTACTTTTACTGGGTATAACCTGCCTACTGGCTGCCCTCCTTTCCTATTTCTCGGCCAGCCAGGCTGGAAAGCAGATACTGTACCTGGGGTCACTGCTGGCGACACGGAAGCTCGCCCCATTCGGTGCTGCTGGCCCTGAGCATCCCTCGCCGTCCCACTTGTTCCTCCTCGTCGTCACGGCAGGTCTCACACACACACACGTTCACACTCTCGCGGGCGCATCTGCGGTTAGAGGTCCCGCTCCACGCCAGCAACACCCTCGCTTTCTCTTCCCCGGGACTTGGCCCCAGAGGGGCGACTCTGGACCAAGCCCAAGACAGGATGAAGCGACTGCTGCGCTCTCACCTCCGACAGTAACGGCGACCGCCGCCGCGGCTCCACGCAGGCCAGCCGGGTCCGCCGGGGGTGGCACAGCGGGAGCCAGGTTGCACCCCGGGGATCCCCGCCCGCCGGCCGCGGCGCTCCTGCAGGCTCGTGGAAAGCGCGCGCCAGTGATTCAGCGCCTTTCCGTCGCCGCGGTTACCACGGCGACGCGCGCGCACGCGCACACAAGCCCCCGGCGATGGGGGGCGTGGCAGCCGCCCGAGCCCAGCTCCCCGCGTGCGCTCTGAGGACCCGCACCGCGGCGACACTCCCACCCCGCAGGGGACCAAGCAAAGGGCTTTCGGGAATCTGACGGACCTTCTTAGCCTACACCTCCTTTCCTTCGCCAGACCCTTCCCTGTCACCGTGGCCCCAAAGGGTCTGGGGTGAACACTCCCTCCAAATAAACACCTGAGCCAGGGTGGCTCAGGAGAGCCATGGACGCACTGCCTGGGTCAAAGACCCTTCGTGAATGTGTCCCTGAAGAAATGTCACCGCAGCTACATAAGCCCTACTCTTCCAGTGGGAGTCTCTTTGGGCCCTGCTCTGTAATTACCTTTCTATTTTGAGCACGTGCTTTCTGACTGAGACGGGGAACCTGTGCTGGGAGGGGCCCACATCCCCTCCAAGCCTTGCAGGCTAACTGGGTGCCCAGTATAGTTTGACACTGGCATCTTGAGGAAGGTGACAGTCTAAACCACAGAAAACTTGTATGGAAGACTGCATTATTACTATTTTAATAAAGATGCAAAGGCATCTAGAGGTAAGAACGTGAGCAGAAAAGGAAGCCAGTGCATTCTTTGCACATCTCATTACTATGAAGTGTAGTGCAGTGCTTAGGACTGAGTCACACACACACACACTTGATAGATAAGCTCCTTCTAGACCACTACCATTTACCAAAGTGTCTTAGACAAGTTACATAATCTTGATAAACCTGCTTCCACAATTATAAAATGAAGATAATAGCATTCATATAGGATGATTCTGGGAATTAAACAAGATAACCCACATTTAAAGAGTAAAAACCTGTCCAGGACTGAAAGAGTGAAAATTAGCTTGGACTTAGAAAAGGTAGTACTGTCAATCAGGCAGAGAGGACAGACACAAAGTCAGAAGCAGAAGCAAAATTAACAGGCAGTATCGTTTCTTCTGAAATCATGCAGCAGCCACAAAATGACACAACTCCGTATTTGAATGACTACTGCTTTCTGCCTTTGCTTTACTATTCCCATCCATAACTGGGGATACCCAGTTGCTAAACGCCCTTCACTTCCCGCCAGCACCCAATCCCTCATTAATCTGTTTCTCTCAATCTGCCTCAGAAACAGCAACCAACTGGATCCCAGCCTTGATTCCAAGACTCCCTGGAATCCTCTAACAGGAACACAAACCTTACAAAAGACACTTCCTCCTTTCTCTGCTCACATGGCATTCCACAGGTACTCTCTCAATGCATCCAGTCAATTTTCTGATTTTCTCCCCAGTGATCCTTGGCTGATTAGCCTCTGAAGAAATATACTCTTAGCACATACACACATGGGCTTAGGTCAGAACATTTAAGTAAACCGTCTTTTAAACTCAGAGACACTATAATGAGTATCTATTTTCATTTTTGACGAATATATCAGTTTGGTATTGTATGAAAGTGTTACTCTCCATCTCCAGGACAAAGATGTGAGGCCACTCATTACATTTCACTTGTTTTAAGCATTCAGTGGACATCCATTGAGCTCCTGCTATATGCCAGACACTGCAGTAGGTAGTAAGGATAAAATGATGTATCTTAGTATAATTCTTTTACTTTGTGTGCTCTTGTTTATGGTTTTGGTTGGGACATTTGTACAGTAAAAGACAAGAAACTTATTTTGAAGGTGGGAAAAACTGAGGTTTAGCAAGGTACATTTCACATCAGTGGTAAAAATGATGCTTAGCGTGAAGACAGTGTTGCCTCATTGAAACACAAGATTCTAGGCCAGGTGCAGTGGCTTACACCTATAATCCCAGCACTTTGTGGGCTGAGGCAGGAGGATTTTGTGAGTCCAGGAGTTAGAGACCAGCTGGGCAACACAGCAAGATCCTCTCTCCACAAAAAATAAAAACTAGCTGGGTGCATGATGTACACCTGTAATCCCAGCTACCCAAGAGGCTGAGGTGAGAGGATCACTTGTGCCCAGCAGGTTGAGACTGAAAAAAAAAGGAAGATTCTAAGTTGGAATTTCACTAAGCAGGAAGGTAAGGTAAGCAAAGCTATTACACTGGAAAAAGTTTGAAAAGTTCCAAGTAAAAAACTCAAGATACAGCAGATTAGTAGGTTAATGCATTGAGAACTACTGCTCATGCAAGCAGACTAAAAGTGGTTTCTACATGCTTCACTTATAACTTGTTTTTTAGATTTTGTCATAAGCAGTACACAAGAGGGTATTGCATGTAGATGCTGTGAGTTATATAAAAGAAATAATACTTTCACAGCTTTAAGACAATTTGACAATCCTTTATTTAATTAATTTTTGAGATGGTGTTCCGCTCTTCCCGTACTGGCTAGAGTGCAATGGCAGGATCTCGGCTCACTGCAACCTCCGCTTCCAGGTTCAAGCCATTCTCCTGCCTCAGCCTCTTCAGTAGCTGGGATTCCAGGTGCCTGCCATCACTCTCAGCTAATACTTGTATTTCCAGTAGAGATGGGGTTTCATCATGTTGGCTAGGTCAGTCTCTAACTCACGACCTCAGGTCATCCACCTGCCTTGGCCTCCCAAAGTACTAGGACTACAGGTGTGACTCACTACACCCGGCTGATAATCTTTTGTAAAATCTAATATACTACATTGTACTTTTTAAAGAATTTAAACTTTTGGCTGAGCACAGTGGCTCATGTCTGTAATCCCAGCACTTTGGGAGGCCGAGGTGGGTGGATCATGAGGTCAGGAGTTCGAGATCAGCCTGACCAACATGGTGAAACCCCGTCTCTACTAAAAACACAAAAAATAGCTGGGCGTGGTGGCTGGGAGTGGTGGCAGCACATGCCAATAATCACAGCTACTCGGGAGGCTGAGGCAGAATAGCTTGAACCCAAGAGGCGGAGGTTCTGGTGAGACGAGAGTGTGCCATTGCACTCCAGCCTGAGCGACTGAGTCAGACTCCGTCTCAAAAAAAAAAAAAAAAAAAAAAGAATTTAGACTTTCACCCATCTATTTTTTGCAATGTGATTTGAAGTTAACTTTTCCAAATGAAAGCAATTTATGCCAGAACAATCCGTTTCCCATAGAAATGAACTATTGTATTACCTCTATGATGTATGCTACTCAACTATGAACATCTGTTCTCATTTTTTGTTTTTAATGATTAAAATTATGATTAATGTTTAAACTCTTTCTCGTTGTCACTACAAAGGGAATATTACATAAATGTCTTTTTTTGTGTTTAAATTTTGGCACTCCTGATATAAATAAGGTTCTATTAAGTCTATTTATTCTCCCTTGCTTTCTTTTTTTCATACACAGGAAGCACATATAATCTTGGTAATTCTTGGTGGAATCAGAAGAAAATGGAAATCTGTTTTCTTCCACACAAAGAGGAAGAAGCAGCTACAAAGAAGAAGAACTAGAAGCAATTAGCAGGTAAAAAATTTAATCTTATCATGGACACAAAAACATACTAAACCAAACTATAAACAAATAAAATTCTTTATTTAAATTTCTCTTGTGAGGAAAATATTTTTCTTTAAAGCATATTTAAAAGTAATTTGCATTTACTTCCTGTAAAACATTTCCATTTTACAATTAGCCACACTAAAGGCTCTATCTCTTTATGCATTTATTTTTCTGTTAGAAAAATGTTCCATGGTGTTATCAAACTGATTTTAACCATTATCAAGCCTAACTTTGCCTCCGTTGGCAACATGACTAGAAACATGAATCAGAAAGTATTAAGGAATTTTAAGCCATAGGTTTCAATTATAGCTTGCCAATTATGTAGTTAGCTAACAAAAATCACGTCTGATGTAGAATAGCTGTCATCTACTTAACTGCAGATCATCATAGCCTTTCATTTAAGATCAATCAAACTTATGAAATAAAGGATCCAGTCTCAAGAACTCAACAATATCTGTTTTCTTTTGAAGACGTATTTTAAATATTAACAATTTCAGTGCCTGGATGGAAAAATATCAACATTAGCCCAGAGACAATGTGGTCCCTGTCTGGAATCCAGCTGGCAGCTACAAGCACTGTTAAAAACTCTGACAGGCTCTGTGCTCTTTTTTATTAAATAGACTCACATCCTGAACACAGGAATGCATTCATTTAAATAACATTAATCTTTAATGTTGAATTCCGAAAACACAAACACAAATCATAGTTGGCTGTTCTGTGACAATGATCTAGTACATTATTTCCTCCACATAAACCTATCTTTCCAGAAGGTGGAATTGTATCTGCAAAAATCACATTTGAAAAGCATTTTACAATATTACATCTAAGTTGCACAGAAGACCCCAGTGATCACTAGGAAATCTACCACAGTCCAGTTTTTCCAATCCAAGAAGGTCCAAACTTCGGGGAATAATGTGTCCCTCTTCTGCTGCTGCTCTGAAAAATATTCGATCAAAACGAAGCTTACAAGCAGCAGTTATTCCAAGATTAGAGTTCATTTGTGTATCCCATGTATACTGGCAATGTTTAGGTTTGCCCAAAAACTCCCAGACATCCACGATGTTGTTGGGCAAACCACCACATTTGGTAACCTAAAAAGAAAAAGAGTATTACGATATACATAACCTTTTCCCCACTACCTAAAAAACATCCAAAAAGGCCGGGCTCGGTGGCTCAAGCCTGTAATCCCAGCACTTTGGGAGGCCGAGGTGGGTGGATCACGAGGTCGAGAGATCGAGACCATCCTGGTCAACATGGTGAAACCCCGTCTCTACTAAAAATACAAAAAATTAGCTGGGCATGGTGGCGTGTGCCTGTAATCCCAGCTACTCAGGAGGCTGAGGCAGGAGAATTGCCTGAACCCAGGAGGCGGAGGTTGCGGTGAGCCGAGATCGCGCCATTGCACTCCAGCCTGGGTAACAAGAGCGAAACTCCGTCTCAAAAAAAAAAAAAAAAAACCATCCAAAAAAGA